AGGAATCTTGCAGTCATAATATTGTACCCACAATCTACATAATAAATAGATTTTGGTATTTTACCATTTACTTTACAAGTCTTATAAGTTATAATATAATATATTTTACATATTATTATTATTAAGTCCGGTGTCTGGAATTGTACATTTCGCAATGTGGAGTACTGGCCAGCGCCGGCGGGAGGTTTTGCGGGGTCCGGGGCAGATTTTTTTCATGGGCCCTAGACATTTTCGTTCAATGCCCCCCCCCCACTTTGTTTTTTGGATAGCGCTGGGAGTTTTTGTGCACAAACGTCCGGACCTGGTGTACATTTCTGCACAAACGTTTGGCACCTTCAAAAATCCAAATATTCAATGTGGTAGGCTACCGTTTTGTTTTTGGGATAGAACTTTCAGTTTTTGTGCATAAACGTCGGGACCTGGTGCACATTTCTGCACAAACGATGCACAAAAGTTTGACGTGGTCAGAAGTTCAAATTTCGAAAGTGGGGGCCGGGGGGGGCCATTGAAATGTACCTCATCTCGAGAATTATTTCTCTATCGTACGGTCTATTTTCTATACTCAATACCGCCTAATCCTATATTCGTCTCTAATACTCCAATAGTCTAATGACAAACTATATAACCAGGATAAGAAAAACCCGCAATCCACAGTTTAATGGAATTGATGTGCACATAACCAATTCAATTGTTTCCTGGGGATTATTTTGAACGTCGCCGTCACACGTCGGCATTATAATTTATTTTTATTCTCACTCGTTTATTATATGAAAAACCCACAAGTCGTAACTGCAGATGGCCAGCCGAGACTTGTATTTTTTTGAAAAACAAAATTATGGGCTTACAAATTATCAAATACCATATTTGTAATGGTGGGGCCCTGGGCAGATGCGCCTTCTGCCCTGCCCTTCCGCAGGTGCTCAGTACTGCAGTGATTTTTGTACAGATGGTGCGATAAGTACAAAGTAGATAGATTTTTTTATACACCTAATTCGAAGTGTACAACAATCACTGTACAATTAATGACAACACTTAAAAATTATCTAAATGATTTTACAATATCGTAGACACAAACTGCGTTTTTCAGAAGTTTAACTTCAACAGACTTAAATCCGGGATCCGGACTACGTTGCTGCAGAATTTCAAAGTTTATTAGTAAGATTTTACAATAAAAAATGAGTGCAGCTGAAATTAATTTTAATTTAAAAAGTTAATACTTACAAAAAATTAAAAATATTATTTTAAATGCAAGTTTAATGTCTGTACCTAGATAATGAAGACAATTACAAAAACAAGAAATGACGTAGGTACCTATACCCACTTACAAAGCAACACAAGCTAAATATTGAAAAAGTAAGCATTTTTTCTACCATAAGACTCCATGACCGGCGTGACCTATTCACATACACAAAAACACACATAATTTTAAAATCTCAATACCTACTCATTAATAGCTACGATCAGAATCTAAAAGAATAAAACAAGTACAACACTACAACAGTATATGTATAATGCAGATCGATAAATAAATCATCGTTAAAATACAATTTATTATAGTATAGTAGTATACCTCTGCGTTATAACGTAAGTACAGTATATTGGTATATCAATAATAATATTAATAATAATAATGGTGTTCAGAAAAATAAACACGCCCGAAATCCAGCCGATGCTGCCGGTCGATTAATAATATGTCGATAATTATTATGTCGTAGTAGCTTACAAATAAACGATGTTTGTTTTAAATTGTCGGCGACGGTCTAAGACGAAATTCGGAATCGGCTCACTTTCAATTTTTTCTGACTATAGGCACCTACCTACACGCGAACAATTTACCTGTCAAAATGGCTGAATCGCATAGTACCGATACAATCGTAGAAGACGTCATAAATAAATATCATCAATAACATCGAGTTTGGGATATAATGGAAACAAAACTTAGCGTTTTTGACAACTACCGAGAAGAGGCTATGGTTGCGGATTTGGCGGGCCTGTTGTATTATGCGACCCAGTTCGCGGACGGCGACTCGTCGGAAACCCTTAAACCGAAAGATGATTCCAGTACTGGACCGGTTGAAAGCATCAAAGACGACGTGGACGCTGTGCCAGCGACACTGCAGGCGCCTGTGGAAGCGTCCAGTGACGAGGCGGAGTTCGTCTCACCGGCCAGCGGAGCTGAGGTCAAGAACAGCATTGGAGACTTGATCGGCTACCTGGACCCGGGGGCAACGCCAGCAACAAGCGCAGGCGGACGGCGGCGAGGATCGCGTCCGCTGCGTGGAGAGGTGTGAAGAAGGCCGTACGCGTTTGCTGCTGTTGTTCCCCGAAGTGAAACCGTCCGAGAGTTCCCCCTGGCCAAGGGTAGCGGACAAGGCGAGGCGATGACGTGGTGTCGAGGTAATAGGTACGTGACAGTGCACTTTTGGGGTGATCGGCAGTAAGTCACCAATACACGTTCTCCAGCCTGTACCGGCGGTAGCTTGACGAGATCGCGGACGTCGGGCGCTCGAGGTCGTCGACACGCGAGACCCTCTGGCGACTCCATGGCTTGGCCGGCGGTACAGGGCGAAAACCACGGAGAGTATCATTACAGCGGCGCGTAGCGATGCTGTCCGCAGATTCTCTCCTCTTTTTGTCCAGTGATCTGATCCTGTCGGCCGATATTCTAGTCTTCGTCGCTCGCTCCGAGCTTTGGTCACTGTCGTCGCCGGCACAACAGTCGTCTTCAGCACCTGCAGTAGCGTCAAGCGCACTACATCGCGTACTAGCCGCTCGTTGCCAACTGTCGTCATCGCTCTCGCAGCCGTCGTGGCCGGGCTTCACCCGCTTCCTGCATGGACGTCTCATAGAAACTGATAAAATAAACATTTGGTATAGGTACATTTCAAGTACCTACGGTTATTCATTTTTGGACAACAATTAAGAAAACTGTTCCGATGTATAGGCTATTTAGCTACATTACTGTCGCAAGTGTATTTTTGTCAGTATCTTCTAATTTGGCAATAATATAATATACAGTAGAATCTGCTTAAAGGGAACGCCATTTAAAGGGGACACCTGCTTAATGGGGACATTAATGACAGTCCCGAATGAATGTATTGCATGTAGAATTCTTCGGTTAATCGGGACAGTCAGGATAATGGGGACAAATATAGGTCACCGCCCGATGTGTCCCAATTAAGCGGATTCGACTATATTGCTTTCAGTTTAATAGTTGTAAACGCCTTGAATCATTATAATATTATATATTTATATTATAGCATAGTACTATGCGAATTAATAAAATATATTTTATAATGTTTTAAAACGTAATAATTATAATTTTATAATCAAGTGGCCCTATTCGGAACTAGAAACGAACGGGAGTTTACGTTTTTCATTCTTCCCTCCCAATAGGACATATTATTTTATCATACAGGGCAGGTGTCTGGTATTATATCCGTCCATGTGCTTATAAGTCATAACACATGTCACATGGTTTATATGTAACAATTACGCCAGCAATTACAGGTAAAAATAATAAAGTTATGTGCACTCTATACTTTTCCCCTAAGATATAGATAACAAAGTGTTTTATCTATATTGTGCTTTTCCCATTGACCCTTAGATCATAATATACATATATGATATATGTATGTCGTTAAGTCTACTTGAAATTAACTTCTGCACATTTTTGATATTATCCCCCAAATTCCTAAAAATGTCATATTAAAAAAGAACATTTAAAAATTGTTGTATTTCAATTTTCGGAGAAGTTAAAAAAAATCAAAAATGTGGGAAAGTCGATTTCAAGTGACAAGTAGAATTGAGGACAAATTCAAATCTGTTTTAGAATTCTTATACCACTTCATTGGATCAATTGGTATGTTTGGCAAAAAACCCGTCTAAAATACTATGTATCACGAGTGTTAGACAAAAACAGAAAATTACAGTATCGAATCCCCTTAAAAATAATAATTTCAACAAACGCCTAGATAATAATCTTACCTTTCAATTTTATAATAGGTCAATTCACTCTATAATATCGAAACTAACAGCACACTATTGAAACTGGTAAACGAACATTTGGTATGTCGTACGTGTGTAAGACGGAGACAACACATACAGGTAGTAGGTACCGGACTACGTCCTCTCAACACGAAGTTGAAGGGACCGGCCAAAAAGTTCGAGTTATCCAAATCCAACTATCCAAGAATTCGAGTTATCCAAGGATAATACAATAATAAGAAATTCTATGAACCGGAAAAATGTTCAAGGTATAGGCGATTTCGAGTCAAAAGAGTTCGAGTTAATAAAGTTCAAATGTAATAGGTATATAATATATATTATTTATGTCAGTGCCTATGAACTTGGTCTATGGTTCAACTATGAAACTATAAACTAGTTTATAGCCTATAGGTCTATGGTTAAACTATAAAACGATACCTATTATATACCTATTATAACTTAGGAGTTACCGGCTATCAATTGCACGTAGGAATATTAATAATAACGCCATCACACGATGTAGAGAAGATATCTTCTCTACATTGATCACTATCATAATCATAATATTACAATAAATGATTGACCCATCTATATAGCTAGTTAAATAGTTAATTACATACACTATATATTATAGGATAATATTATTATATATTATTTTATTTTAAAGATAGATGATTAAAACTATTAATTGAAAAAAAAATAAACACACCAAACTATAAACTAACAATATTAAACAATAATAAAACAAGTAGGTACGAGTAGGTACCTACACAAAAAATAATATATAGTTAATACTATAATACAAATGTTTAAATAGGAATAAAAACAACTGAATAAGAGACATAAAGAATATAATATAACCATTGATTAAAGTATACTTATATATATATCCATATAGGTATATATTTTGATCAATGATATGACGTATGTCTTATGTATAAGCCATAAGTAACTTATAAGCTATACATTATAATTAGTAGTCGTCTTATACTCTTATATCTTATGTTGAGTGATTAGGTTTTACTTGAAGATGTCGAACTCGTTGAGGTTGAAGTAGATCCAGAATTACGCGGTGACCCTACTTCAGGCCTCCATAACTTTGCTCTCATTATTCCTGCGCTATTTGGACAATTTTCTTTTGCCCTTGACCAAGACAACGAGTGTAATGAATATGGAGTTCCAAACGCGCCTGAAATATACATTTTTTTTTATTTTCAACCATAGATTTTCATTTTACTAATTATACTATACGTATATATAACTGATAAGTCGGGATAGTCATAAATCATAATAATATAATATATGAACACATTATTAGAAATAACTGCAGTTTAGGTAGAGATTGAAAGTTATGAACACAGTTCAAGTCATTCAATATGAACAAATAATTACAGATTGAACTTTTATAGTAATGTACGTTTATTGTACGTACAGTGTAGGTACTGTATGACTGTATATACCTATTCTACTTTACATATTTATTAAATATTTAAACTATACACATAAACACATCTCAATTAATAATTTAATAAATATTATTTTTTTATATCAAATACTTATTTAATATAATACTATGCCTATCTAATCCACAAAACTATAAAAAATTATTTTATCAAGAAAAATAACAGAAATGTTTTGGATTAATTTTATAAATATTTTCATATAAACCCATTAAAACAAAAAAAAATTAACTTGATAGATGTTTAATTCTGAGAAAAGCTAAGTTATTTCAAATGCGAATTAAAGTCATTGAGTTAAGAAATTAAAAAATTAACTTTTGAAATTTGAACTATAGTTAATGCCGACCTTTGCGAAATTTCGGTTTTAGTATTTTGATGCAGCTTAGAGGTTATAGTGACTCAAAATTTTCCTAATTAATCGAAAATCGATAGAGACATTCTTCATATAATTGGATTTCGACCTTATTAAAATATTAGAATTTTAATAAAAATTGACAGAAAACCTCAATATTGATGAATTATTAAAAGATTTCAATTTAAATTCAAACAGGAAATTTCACATGTACCTATACTACCTATTACCTATATTGAATAATGAATATTAATCTTGAATGATATTATTAATAAAATATTACCTAGGCACCACTACCACCAATTAGGTACCTATTTTCCATAATATACTATATTACTATATAATATAGTAACTATATTATACTATATAATATATATTCAAATTAAGACTTAAAAATAAGACTTGAGTAAACGAGGTGGTGGACGAAAACACGTCATGTCCGCACATGACTATACCACACTACAAGTTATCGGTACAGCAGACTCTCCAGTCTCCACTCACCCACGACCCACCCATAACTCATACCACCACTGTGGCCCCCAGCATATGGTCGGTAACTATTGTTTCCGATCAATTCGCCAATTATTCAAGGGGTCTGGCACCACTACGGCTATGTACAGCAATCAGTCACGTATGCCGATGCGCGAACCGGTGTGTCTATAATATAGTACCTACTACCTATTTTTAATAGTTGAAAGAGTATCATTCTACATAATAGATGTAAAATATAAATAATTAAAGAAAATCATTATTACCAAAAATCAGAGCACATGTTGTCATGTTATACTGTTATAGTATTAGAATTTATAAGTTATAATTACAAATTCTTATACAATATCAAATTCATAAAAAAATTTAAAAAAAAATTTAATTCTGAAAAGTTAAAAATGTTGAAATCTTTGCTATTTCTAAACGATATAACGATATATTGGAAAAAAAACGCACCATCTTGCCCTCAGAAATATTGTGCCAATTCAAATTTATAAATTATAATGGATATTTTTACACTAGAACCAAAATATATTGAGCAAGTTATACTCAGACTGCGTGAACGCGTTTTGTCTATTTCGTATCCACAGGTACGAATAAATGAGTTGAGCCTCACTGTCACACTATATATGTTCCACTATCCGTTTATGAAAGATGGGTAAAAACCAATAGGTGTATTGATACACCTTGGTAAAAACGTACAAACCCATCCGTTTTTAATCCGTATTAAATTAATATCCGATAATTTATTTTTACAACACGCCGCGGTCAGCCGGGCCTTTCAATGCGCGGGATCCTGTGCCTTTTCACAGCTCGAATCTCCTTCAAGCCCTTGCTAATATTATATTTTAATTTGTAAATGTCTTATACCAAACGCTTTTTCTCCACTGATATATACCGATATACCCTATATAGGTACCTACCTATATCTAATATGTCGATAAAACTATTGTTCAATACACCACCACATACCAGTAAAATAAATCTAAAATATATATTGTATATCAGTATTTATCACAAAATATATCCTATTCATGAAGGTCTATATACTATGATTATTATGGTCATGTTTATAACATGCATTTAGATATAAGTAATTTAGATATTTACTGTTATCAAATAATGATAATTTTAAGAACAGCTTAGTTAGCAATAATATTATACAACTTTTTCAAAAAAGCAACAAATAAATCCAGCATTTCAACTAATATAGTAATTTATGGACAAGACACCAAGTAATTGATGAATTTAAGACTTAAGTATTTGATCTACGATCTATCGAAAGGAATAAGACAAAAGAGAATGCAAAAACTATAAGTTTGAAATAAAAATGTTATCAAATTTTAGATTCTGAGCGGAGCGATGAATGTATTGGTTTTACAATGATGTATGTTTTTATATTTTTATATTTTTATATTTTTATATTTTTATATTTTTATTTATATTTTTGTGTCTGTCATCACGTTTTGGGACAGTAAAAGTGCTTCGATTTTCTTCAATAGTACCTTTTCTGATAGGAAAGTGAATCTAGTTGGTACTTTGGGGGGTCAAAAGTAAACATTTTCCAGTAGTTTTCACAAGCGCCGGGAAAAACAACATAAAAATTAAGGAAAAACGGGAATTTTTACGCAAAATCGATTTTCCAAAAAATCGAATTTGGTTATTGGTGTAACTTTAAAACAAATGACCGTAGATACATGAAATTTTCACTGGTTGTTTATATTTGCATTTTCTATACACGATAACATTTTCAAAATATTTTGATTTATTTTGAACTGTTTAGGGACATTTTTATTTTTCATTTTTTTTTAGTTTTTTTTCTATAAATATCAATAAAATTTTATTTGTTGGTTGCGAAAGCTTGAAAATTTAATAGAAGGCTCCTAATATGTTGTTTCAAAGGCAGATGAAAAATATTAAAAATCCTTAGTCACAATTTTTTTTTATAAGCATTTAAAGTTCAAAAATTGACAAAATATGGAAAAATCACGAAAATTAGCAAATTATTTTGAGTTAAGAATTCGTAAAAATTTTTCTTTTTAAATCTAAGATTTGAAAATGAAACACAAGATTCCTTATAAGATTATCTACCTTTATCAATAAAAAAATCTCTACCGGACAGTCAAATTAAATTTTTATGAGCGTTTGAAATTCAAATTTTTACAACATTGGATTTTCACTCGATTTCTCATGTAGCGATTTCCTTATTTTGTTGTAATTCAAAAACGAATAACTGTAGATACATGAAAATTTCACTGAATGTTTATATTAGCATTTCCTGTACACCATATAATTTTGAAAATATTTTGACTCTTTTTGAGCTGTTTATGGACATTTACAGCTTTCAATTTTTTTTAGTTTTTTTTCTATAAATATCAATAAAGTTTTATCTGTTGGGCCGAAAAGTGTAAAAATTTAATACAAGGCTCCTGATATATTGTTACAATATCAGTTGAAAAATATTAAAAATACATAGGCACGGTTTTTTTTTATAAGCATTTAAATATGGAATTTTGACAAAATTTATCAAAATCTCAAAAATTATCAATCGATGGAATTAAAAAATTATAAAATGTTCAGTTTTTATAACTAAGAGTTGAAAATTTAAAACAAAGATTCTCTTAAATAATTTATACTGTAACCAAAAAATCTAAAAAATATATAAACACACTTATTTTTTACAGACATTTTAATTTCAAATTTAGACAAAATTTCATATTTAAACCAAGAATTACGATTTTAGTTATTTTGTTGTGATTGAATAATATTATTCGTGGGTACTTGAAACTTCTAAAGTGTACTATTATATATCTATGACAGTATCACGGTTTTTGTTGATGTATAACGCGTTATAACTGTTATAAGTATCTAATGGATATTGTGATATGATTAATTTGGAATTTATTATAGGTCAATTTTTTGTTTAATACCATAGATATGTATATAATATGTCTTATACATATACTGACATACCGTCACCGCTCAGAATCGTTTTTCTTATACAATGATATTATATCATTGAATTCAAATTTAATACCATCCATTATACAGTGACCCACTTGTAACCTACTGTACAGCTGAGCGACACCCACTTGCCCACCTTTTTAAAATTTATACTCACATATACTTAAATATAAGAGGTGTATTAATGAATTACGACAATAAAGTTTTTAAGTAAAACATTAATTATTTTTATTCTATTAGGTATATGAAAAATGGATTTTAGATTTGAATGGTATTGAGAAAATTAAGTTATGCAGGTACCTACATATTTCTCTTCATCACTACAAATTAAGTTACGTTTACGCTATTGGCATATAGCCATATAGATAGGTACCTATACCTACATAATAGTAGGTACCTACACAGCGGTACAAAAGCTTTAAGTTAAAACTTAAAACGTAACGCGACTAATAATTAGATATGTTAGTTCTTTCACTGTGATAAAATTGAAAATGTTGGTTAGTTATACTATAGCAGTGTATATTATACCTCTGACAATAAACTTCTTGACGGGTTGCTCTTTGATCTGTGCCGGTGGTCTATGCAGGCGACCTGCGATCGTCGTAAGTTTGGCCACGTTCAAAGATGTGACGCCATTTCCTGTCGGCCCTGTGCCACGGGTCAACTCTGACAGGAAGTTTATGTACCCGATGGCCAACTTCAGGGTATCCACTTTGGACAAGCGCTTCTCATACGGCAATGTGGGTATGTGCGCCCGAAGCCCTTCGAATGCTTCATTGATGCTCTGCATGCGTCGCCTTTCACGCAAGTTAGCTGCTTGGCGCTGCTGTGTCTTTTGCCTGTGACACCGTGAACTCTTCTTGCGACCAGAACCAACTGAAAAATGCATGGAAAGAACATTTTAAGGGCCTGGTCGCGACCTGTTTTTTTGCTCAAAAACATGCCTTACAGGAAAAACTCTCACGCTTTGTAGATTGGTCCGATTTCCGTAATTTTTTTTTTGTTAAATAGAGAGAGACGTATTGCAGGGCGCATTGGATTTTCAAAATTATTTTTCGAAATCTTATATTACAAGTTTGAATTTAATCCATTTTTACAACTTTTTAGTTTTTGTATTATTATTTATTTTTAGCAACGTAATCAAAAATCAAAGTCCAATGCGCCCTGTAAAAAATATTCTTCTATCTAACAAAAAAAAATTACGGAAATCGGACCAATCTACGAGGTGTGAGAGTTTTTCCTGTAAACTGTGTTTTGACCGATATAATACACCCTATCAACCCCCCCTAAATAGGTATTGGGTAGTAGATTAGTGGAAAAGTCTTATAATTGAGGTGGCAACTAAAATATAAAATTTAATTTTCAAATTTTATAGAATTGCGGAAAATTTGAAAAATCGAGACCAGGCCCCTTAAAGAAAATATCAAAAATAATTTAAGCATAAATCATTGTTCTAAGTTTTTATACACAATTTCGTCAACAAAATATTTTTAACTTCAAAGAAGGGCTTAAAAAGTAAAATATGGTTTCACGGTAAGCTTTTTTTTCAATTCCAGTAATTAAAACTTATGAAAACTAGTTATGAATTCAATTTTCAAACCTTAAGCATTAAAACTAAAAGTTGAATGCATTTAACTTAAATAACAATTTACATGTTTTCATGGTTTTGACGAATTTTGTCGACACTTGAACTTCAGACATATACAAAATTGTAACTGTGGTTTTTCGATAAATTTTAAGAGCTGTAGCCTGTAAGAGCAACATTTGAGGTGTGATTTTTCTTACATTTTCAAGCTTTTAGATTCTGAGTGGAACGATGAATGTATTGATCTTACAATGATATTTGTTTATTTATTTTTTTTTTATGTCTGGCATCACCTTTTAGGACAGTAAAAGTGCTTGGATTTTCTTCAACAGTATCTTTTCTAATAGGAAAGTGAATCTAGTTGGTACTTTGGGGGAGTCAAAAGTAAAATTTTCCCAATAGTTTTCAATAGCGCCGTGAAAAACAAAAGAAAAATTAAGAAAAAACGGGAATTTTTAAGCAAAATCTGTTTTCGAGAAAATCAATTTTAGTTTTTGGTGCAACTCTTAAACAAATGACTGTAGGTACTTTAAATTTTGACTAAATGTTTATATTCAAATTTTTTATTGACCATAACATTTTTAATTATTTTTAGCTGTTTACGGACATTTTCAGTTTCCATTTTTTTAGTTTTTTTTTTCTATAAATATTAATAAAATTTTATTTGTTGGGTACAAAAGCTTAAAAATTTAATAAAAGGCTCCTAATTTATTGTTTCAAAGACAGATGAAAAATATTAAAAATCTATAGTCACAATTATTTTTTATAAGCATTTAAAGTTCAAATATTGATAAAATACGTAAAAATGACAAAAATTTCCAAATTATTTTGTGTTAGAAATTCATAAAAAATTTTCTTTTTTAATCTAAGATTTGAAAATGTAATACAAGATTCCTCATATATTTGTCTACCTTTATCAAAAAAAAAAATGTCTACAAGAAAGTCAAATTAAATTTTTATGAGCTTTTGAAATTCATATTTTTACAACATTTGATATTCACTCGATTTCTCATGTAACGATTTTCTTATTTTGTTGTAATTAAAAAACGAATGACTGTGATACTTGAGAAAATTTAACTGAATGTTAATATTAGCATTTTCTATACACGATAACATTTTGAAAATAATTTGACTCTTTTTAAGTTGTTTAAGGATATTGTCAGTTTTCAATTTTTTTTTTTCTATAAATATTTATAAAATGTAATTTGTAGGGGGAAAAAGAGTGAAAATTGAATGCAAGGCCCCTGTTATTTTGTTACAATAGCAGCTGAAAAATATTAAAAATACATAAGCACAACCTTTTTTTATAAGCATTTAAAGTTCGAATTTTGATTTATAAAATGTTTAACTTTTATAGCTAAAGATTGAAAGTTTAAAACAAGGTTCCACGTAAATAGGTTTTATATAAATTACTTAGTTCACAATAATATCATCAAATATACTTTGTAATATCATAGGCTGACTGACCGTTCACCGTTTTCGCTCAGAATCGTTTTTCTTATACAATGATTTTATATCATTGAATTCAAATTTAACACCATCCATTACAGACTACAGTGACCCACTTGTAACCTACTGTACAGCAGAGAGGCTTTTTATACTTATAAACATGTATTTTATATTTTTATCATACATAAATTGGAATAGAGTTATAAAACTTAAATTGTTTTAATTGCTATACATTTCCATACTGCACAATAAAACAAAAACGATGTTTTATAATATATAATAAATATTATCAATACATCTTGAGTGAGTCTAAGATACATTGTATAATTCTTATTATAGTTATCTTATTTTGTGTCAAAAATTAAGCGGTATGTAAGTCGTTTAGGATTTCCCATATATTAATATTATTTAAGTAGGTAGTAGCCAGTAGGTACTATTATAAATATGTGTAATATATGGATATTTTGTATTTAATTACAGTAGACGCCGCTTATAAGACTCACTTTGGGACCAGCACAAAGTGAGTCTTATAACCGAATGAATCTTATAGGCGAAGTGGAAATAAAAAAAATAATTACGCATTTATAAATTTTATTTTACTACATATTTTGCTTTGATTTTAATACTTAACCACATTTTACATATTACATACTTTATTACTGAATACATTTAATAATCCTGATAAAAAAAAAAACTAAAATTATAATAGGTAAATATTACATATAAAAATATTATAAAAAATAATAAAGGATGTATGTACATATTATAATGTATTTATTATTTATTTTTATTATTTTATTATTTATTTTTATTATACGTTATATTAAGGTACCACCAGAAACTAGAAATAATCAACACGAATATTATTTAATTTTTCAATACCAATTTATTTCTAAATTATAACCAAAAATGAAAAAAGTTTATTTTCTACTATTTATTTTACGAAATTTGAGTCTTATAACCGAAGTGTTGAGTCTTATAACCGATTTTTTTTAATGTATTTGGATACGTCCGGACCGTTCCAGACGATTTTGAGTCTAATAAGCGACTGAACCTTATATCCGTGAGTCTTATAAGCGGCGTCTACTGTATATGATTTTTGCACTGAGTGTTTTAATTTATTTTGTATGTAATTTATTCAGTTGTGATTTAAATTGTATTGTTATACATATCTGTAAGTATTTCATTTTTTAATAAAATTATTGATTGATTTATAAAAAGTATTTATTATTATACTAGCGGCATTATTGTCATGACACTTAAATGCTTAGCTATTGCTAGGTTTTTGTGATTGCTCAACTCCTTTTGGGTGTAACACGCTGTGGAAGCAATGTCTTTTTAAGTGTAAATTATATTATATTTTAAGTTATAATTTATAGCCATCCCAACCGGTGTTGTCCGTGAGATTTGCTTGTGATTATGCGATCAGTTTTTTATCAGGTAGGCAATCTACCTATGTGCAAAAATTCAATTTGACGCGCATGCTTGTACCTGATCTGTTCGATTAACCAATGACCACTAATAAAATAATAAATACTAGTTTATACTAATTATCTCTCCTAAAAACAATAGCAACCATTTATAAACAAAAATTTCTATCATAAATCTCAGAATCCCTGTTTGAGCACCTCCTAGGTTTGGACTACCCCGGGTCCAATTGTGAATCTAAATCATCACAGGAACCACTCAATACACACAAAACTTGTTATCAAAATCGGTTCAGTTGTTTAGGAATACATAAAGGACAGACAAACATTCATTTATTTATAGGTATATAGATAATGGCCAACGGGTATGATGTGTAGCAACGTTGCGTAGATTACCCTAATTTAATGTCCCAAGTGCGTCCGGAATAATAAGGTGCCTATCACCCAAAAATGTGTCCCAAGAAATTATATTATTTTTTTTACAATGACTTTTTTATGACTACATGGGTACTTTCTTTTTATTTTATTTTTGTCAGCTGTGTGGCCTTTCGGTTTGCTGTTGTAGGTTCAATTCGACATTTTTTAAATATTTCTAAAAATGCACCTATATAAATATTTAGACGGTATGTATATAATTGAAGAATTGCACCTACTTGATTACTTGGAATGGAATATTTTACATGAATTTCTTGTCTTGCCAAAACTATATACCTACTTGTAATTTCAGCTCATGTGGACATTTTGCTTCAGAATTAATTAAATTTTCTGTCAAATAATCCATTACTTCATTAAGTTTTTTATGTTTCGGAATTATTGATACAAATTTTGTGGCCACTAATCTTAATTTTGAGAGCCGCAAATTTATGAAGCTAATTCGAAGCGAGCCATACTGTAGTCTTTAGTATACTTTTGTTTGTAAGAGATGTTTATAAAATGAAGATAGAATTTTTATTTTAAAACAAATGAAGGAACATTTATTTATTTATAGAAATAACTTAGGGTTTTACGAAACTGACTCAAGAGTCACATGTGACTCTCGAGGCTCGTTGTGGCCACCCTTGAACTATAAAATATTCAACAAAATGTCTTTCAGTACCTACCGATGTTTTTAGATAATTGTTTTATTATATACGTCATATACTACATATATGTATACATGATATTATAATATATATTTATTTTGTATTTGTAATCCATATACTATATTATATATTATATTATACTATATCCTATTTACCTATCCTTGAAAAATAAATCTATTTCTGTTTGATTACAAATTATCTTTACGCAACTAAAATTTTTAATATGAATACGCCACCTTGTCCTTAGTGGAAGCAATAACATCCGTTTTTAGCTATGTTTGGCCAAACTTTTAGAGTGCTAAGATGAACAGAGTACAGACTATAATCTGACTATTAATTTCGGATGCATTCAACTACCTATTAAAGTTATTGAATATTATTTGTCGTCTTGTCGGTAAGGCTGCGAATAGTCGGGTGAGAGAAAAGGTAAAAAGTAAAAACGCTGCACATCACTTGGGATATTCTCTGCTCATCATCTATACCTTATAATGAGCTCGCAGCTTTATTTTCTTAGAATTTTTTTAATAATACTATGCAAAACTGTACAAAACACAAACATGTGTTGATTTTGAATACCTAGATTTACACTTGTATTTTGTTATTAATTCGGGGATGTAATAAAAGTATACATTTTTTTTAGTACATTTAAAATAAATATAATTATATTTAGTTTAATACTGTGCTATGTGTATTGTGTAGATAGCTATATACACTTACCACAATTGCCGGAATCACAGTCACTGTTCAGCGAGCTCGTGCCATCGGACTCGGAACCAGAAGAGTACTCGTACAGGAAATAGTCTCTTGTGTACGGCGGTGCGTGATAATGGTGCGCCGTACCATGGTGGTTCAATTGATAATGATGGTGATGATGGTCCATCGTTGGGTATAGTGAACGGGTGGACGGTATATTCAAATCGTTACTTATATTATAAATAGTATATACCTATGTGTGTACACTGCACGGCTAGACGAGACGCGAGCAAACACATTCGAATGCCCGGACGTTGCTGCAGAGACTGTCGAATCAACTTGCAAGTATCCAATATACCGAGGCGTGCCAGTTAAAGGACGAGTAGTCGCTATACCACGCCCATCACCGCCCCCAATATACACCCTTCCTTTCACCCAAGTATAAGTTCGTGACCCTATAACGTGTAAGCATGCAATAATATGTATAATAATATGCAAGCTGCGCATTAGCTGTTAGGTACTTGCGTCGCCCAAAAAAATATTGATAAGAAATTACAAAATTACGGAATTCGGCTGGTATAACTCAGCTAGGTCAGCTATGAGTTTATCAGACGTATTCGGTGTATGGGTATTATAATTTATAGGTAAGTAAGATCACTGCTGCAGTAACTCGGATGCAAGTCAACAGCTGTTATACAATACATATATGGATATATATATAGTATACCTACACTACACATTATTTGTATAAATAGATAATCAATATGGTTTATATTTTAGTCTTTAGCGACCTATACAAAAATGTCACTATAATAATCTTATAAGTAGAGCGCGGATTTTCATGCACTAAAAAGTATTGAAATATGCCATATAATATGCAGTAAAAATAATAAAAATATGCAAAAGAGTATGTAAAGTTGATGTTAAGTCATATTTTGAGTTTCCAGTTTTTTTATGACTAAAACTTTTTAGTATTAACCGACTGACACAGCAATAAGAGCGATTAAGTTTACGTCGTAATCGATTATTTATTTTATCTTTATATAAATTATTATTTATAGTGCATTAGTGTCTATAAAATTTAGTTTTAATTTTTCTACTTGACAAAATATTATTTTATGCATTTCTTAAATTTTCACTTCAATATGCAATAACATTAAAATATGCAGAAATATGCAAAAAAAATGTCACCATTAGGTTCAAATTATGATGATTCGTGGAGATAACTGACAAAAATCCAAAAATATGCAATTGCATAGAAATCCGAGCTCTACTTATAATATAGCGACAGATACTAAGCGCGCCGTCGACTGATAAAGCCGAATAATATTAATTTATATTTATTACATAATATATTAATATATATATATATATGCAATATGCGTGATTTGTTATTCTTATGAATACAATTCCACAATAGACCAAAACAAAATAATAAATACCTATAAGTTATAACTTATAAGTAGATTAGTAGATATACCAATAGATTTTAATTTTTTGATAACTAAACAAACAAATTTGATAGTAAAAATGTATAGTTTTCTGCAATTCACTGCTGATAATAAGTATTAACCAACAATTTCTACCTATAGGTACCAAGCTATAATATTTTAGATTCTGAGTAGGACAAACGATTCAGGGGCGTAATTAAGGGGGGGGGGGGGGGAGAGGGATAGATCCCCGCCCAAAACTTTTTCTTTACTGCTAAAATTTTTATCAAAGTATTGGTAATGACCATTAATGTTTGCTAATAACGTATATCCCCCCCCCCCAAACCAAATTCTTAATTACGCCACTGAATCGAAATAGAATTTTAAAATGCTCATAACTTACCTACTTAAAAATTAAAACTTCAGCCTTACAGTAATAAAAAGCTTGACAAAAAAATGTTGTATCCAATTTTCCTAAGTAGGTATTACAGTGATGTTGTGTCCAAAACTCCGACGATATGTGATAAATATATTTATATATATTTATATTACTATAAAAGTCTGTAGGTACTCTGTACACCAATTTGCAACTCCTCTACACCAGTATATATGCAGTGGCAGTCTGATGCAGTCCTACATGTACGATGTACCTATCTCAGGCAAGAGTCGAGCGTCTACTACAATAAAATATGAAAACTTGAAATTTCTTATTATACCTATTTCAAAAAATGTACTTAGTTTGTAATTTGTATTATTTCATATTAACGCTAAAATAAACCAACAACTTCATATACGTAATAAAATTATAATAAAAATAAAAATATTGACTACATTTAATGTAATAACTATTATAGGAAATATAGATATTATAAATATTATATATTTATACATAGATTATAAAGAGTATACAAATTATAGTAATAGTAAATATAGAATGTTATAAGATAGCCACAACTATAATTAGAACTAAAAAATCTTTAGTAAGAAAACTAAACGTGATAAAAATAATTGATGATTCTCATCTGTTAATCAAGTAATCAAGTCCAATTCCGAGCATTTAAACCATAGCCACTATCCCTCCGCGGCTTCTCTCGATATAAGAAAATTCAAACTAGGTAACAATAAAGATTAAACCATGTAGGAATAAGTCACTGCAGGTATAGCCAGTGGTCGATCTAGAATTTTTTTTGAGGGGGCATTGGGTTTATCCAAGTTTTACGACACAAATAGGTAGGTATTTAAAAACGGCCCAATTTATTAACCTAGATGATAGGCCAAGGGGGGGGAACTCTGCCCCCCCCCAAATCCTTAAATCCGTCACTGGGTATACCATATACAGATATACTCTACTTAATTTCAAGCCTAACCTGTAACCATCTGCTAGGATCACGTTAACTACTTTAGGAAAACAACTTAAAGAAATACCTATTAAAAAATCACATTCAATTTTACCTGTATTATGAAAGAACTCTATCAATATGAACATTGAATTAGATTTTAATAAGATCTCATCATTAAAAAAAAAGAGTCAATAATTCCCTCAATTTATAAACAATAATACTATACCACCTAATTAAAGACAATCTTTACCGGCTCATCTAAAATTCAAGATGTACCTATAGTTGGTGCCGCCGTCAATTTGAGTATTTGACAGTCTTATAAATAAGTAGGTAATATACTAATATATGAATATAAGATATAGTTTATACCCTCCTATAAACTGATTTATAGACACTAGTACCTATATACTTATGCCAGGGCCTGATTTACCAATTAATGGGCCAAGTACAACTTACAATTTTGGGCCCCAAATTGTCCATCTTTATTTCCTTCAATGCTAAAATAAAATGTATGCATAATGTAATTTTAAATTAATGTTGTATGTAATTAGTTGCTTATATATGAGTAGTTAGATCATAGAATAAAATTGTATTGTTAAAAATTTGATTATTTAATATACAAGAACCCTTTACACTTATAATGCTTCTAAGTTCTAATTAATGTTTAAAATTTATGGAAGTAAGTATATAAAAAGTAAAAAGTAAACGTTTTTTTTTTTTGTATTTTTGATTATTACACTTATACATCAAACTAATTATTTTTAAGTTTAATGTTTTAAGTTGAATTTGATTTCAGCTAATCAGCTTTCACAACAATTCGATTGTGTGCTAGTAAATAAATTAGTTCTAAAAGCTTATTTTGAAACTTTTTGATTTTTTTGCGGAAACCATTATTAAAGAAGTTATGATAAAAATGCTCATGTTGTTTGGTGCATTTTTAAATGAGGGTTTGGGGTTCAATTCCCAATATCATACTTTACTGTGGCAATTGTTTTAAGTTATTTTTCAAGATTCACTCGACGTGGTTTTCCATAACAAATCGAGGTATATTTATGGTTTGCGGAGCGTACCAACAGCGCAAAGCTAGAGAGTGCCAAATTGCCAAATACAAGGCCTTTTTTTTTTAAATGTTAGACTCAAATTTTTTGAAGATTTTTTGTCATGACTTCTTTAAAAATAGCGGTTTCTGAAAAAAAAATTCAAACAGTTTCAAAAACAGCATTAAATAAAACACGTCTTAAAATTAAAAAAATTAAATTCATGATGGGCATGGTGAAGTGCATGCATTTGTTCCAAAATTTGCAAACAACTATTAATATTAAACATGACATTTTCTACCACATCATAGTCAGTGGCGCATTTAGGGGGGGGCGAAGGGGGCAAATGCCCCCGGCGGCAAATTTTTAAGAGTTTTAGGGGCGGCAGTTTTATCGAGTGTATTTTTTATTTTTTTTTTGTATTACAAAATATAATATAACATTGTTTAACGTGTATAAATTGTATAAGGTATAATATTTTATGATAATGATTTTGTGATAACTGATTATCGTATCAAATCATTTTGAGTTAAATGTGCAGATATTGTGATATTAATGTATGATTGTCGACTGATAACGTATAAAACGAATTATTATTTATTACTAAACGAATTCAAGCCGTTTAGAATTCAAAATTGAAGGTATAATTTTTATATAATACGTCATTATGTCATATTATGTGGTGTAGCCCTTGTAAGGTGTAAACACATATACTCAATTTTTGTGGTTTTATTACGGAAATTACTACTGTGGAGGTAAGAGAAAAGGCTGCAGTTCTACAGCAAATATATAAGGATGATCTTGGGAAAACTTTTCCAAATGAATGTGTCCACTTCAGAGCACACATACTAAGTTTAAAAAAAATGAAGAAAATAGTCCCAGGGACCGCTCAGGATTCGTTGACTTTTATAAAAGTGAATAACCTAACTGAACTTTATCCATATGTAGACATAGCTCTTAGGATGCTATTATGTACTCCATCTAGCAATTGTTCTGCAGAGAGATCATTTTCTGCTCTTAAAAGAGTCAAAAATTATCTACGGTCTACAATTGGAATGGAACGGTTAAACTCCTTAGCCATGCTCAATATAGAATCCAAGTTGACAAATGAACTCCAATATAATGACATTATTGATGAATTTGAAAACCAACAGGCAAGAAAAAAATTGTAATTAAACTGTTCAATAAAATAAATAAAAATTGACTTATGTCATTAAGCATTTGGTATGATTTTTTCATTGAATAAACCTTTTGAAATTGTATACTGTTAAACCCTATGGTAGGTCTGAGGTTGTAATGAGTAGCGACCAGAAGGGGGGGGGGGCAATAAAATAATTTCGCCCCGGGGCGCATATATTCTAAATGCGCCACTGATCATAG